ATGCCCAGTTGTGCCTCCCTCCCCCAAACCTACACTACAACCTACCCTACACTACAACCTACCCTACACTATAACCTACCTACCTAAGTTTGAGTTTGGTAGAACATAAATTTTGGGGTAAACTTTCAAATTCCAAGTGTTATGCTTAAATCATAACTTTTTTGTATGGAAGCAATTTCAATTTTGAAATCATCCTTAGATACTCAGTGCAATTCTTGAAATTTGGAATTGTTTTGCCTGGAAGAAGTTAAAAATTTATTTTTTCATTTTGCTGAAATTCAAAAATTTTATGCAGCTGTATTTGCAATGGCACGTGGTTTTCATTTTCATCATTAAGATGTTGAAAGGAGATTTTTCCCCCTCCTGAACTCCTTCCCAGGAACCCCCTCCCCCCCCCCTAAGGAACAGTGGGTGAGGACCCCACAAAATCTCACCCTTAAACCCAAACATGTTTGTGGTAGATGTAATGTAGTGAACTGGTGCACAGGTCAATGGTTCAATATTTTTGATTTCACTTCTCCTCACAAAAAGTTTTTGTTTCCTGAACTGGAAACTCCTGAATCAAAATTAACCAAACTTGAATTTGTTTCGGGTCCCTAGAAATTCTACCGTACAACCAATATAGTATAGGCAAACAGGGTGCCCAGCCTCTCATCTGGTCACTGGAGGAATTTCAGATTTCATATTTTTCACCAGATCACACATGGAATATAGCATGCCCAGTTGTGCCTCCCTCCCCCAAACCTAAGGAACAGTGACTCCACAAAAGCTAACCCTTGAACCCACACATGTGAGTGGTAGATGTTATAGTGTAGTGGTGCACATGCCACTGGTTCAATTTTTTGATTTCAATAACTCTGAATAGCTAACATTTTCAGCCTATAACACTTTCAGCCAAAAAATCAAATTTTTTGAAACTTGAATGCTCATCTCTTGCTGAAAGATTAATATTTCACAGGACATTTCAGGATTCCCAGCTTTCATTCAGCTCACCAGGTGCATTATAAATTCTAATTTGAATGTTCATTGAATTGAAGGTTTAAAATTTTTGCTATTTTTAAAGTAGAAAAGAATAAATATTGGGAAATAATAATTTCACAATTTTCCTCTTTTAAACTAATTTCAAATATTTTCATTTTGCATGCATCAAAATGAA